TTCTCCCCTTTGTCCTGTGATTTGCCTAGGCAAAGATTCTTGCCCTGATAACAGTAAACAGTGTCAGATATGGACTCCCTGTTGTGAAACAGGCCTTAAATCTGCTCAGAAGGTTATTGCTTACTCTTATAATATTCTTTTTTTTTTTAAATGTTATTATTTTTATTTTATGTGTATGAATGTATTGCTTGCATGTGCACCCGTGTTGTGCAATGCTACAGAGGTCAGACGAAGACTTTGGATTCCCCTGGAACTGGAGTTAAGGACGGTTCGTAGCTGCCATGTGGGTTCTGGGAATTGAACCCGGGTCCATCTGCAAGAGCAGTCAATGCTCTTAACTGCTGAGCCATCTCTCCAGCCCCATGAGGGTTCGATTCCCAGAACCCACATGGCAGCTACGATCCGTCCTTAACTCCAGTTCCAGGGGAATCCAAAGCCCTCTTCTGACCTCCATGGCAATGCACGACTCGGGTGTACTCACATACATGCAGGCAATACACTCATACACATAAAATAAAAATAATAAATAAAATAATATTTTTGTCACGGTTGTCCGTATTTTGCCAAGCCAGTTGCTGTGTAGCTTGCAGGGTGCACAGTTGGGTAAGGTAGATGATTACCTTTCTATTACTGTTGGTAATATAGCCACTTCCAGTACTTTGAAAGCTAGGCATCAGAGATACGGCTTCAAGGTTAATACCAGCTTGATTTCTTTTTGTTCTGTGACTCAGATATGTAGTGTTCTTAGCAGTAGGGTCTTACCATCAATTCTGATGGGTAACCCAGTGCTGTGGCAATAGCTAGTATCGTTTGAGAATCTGTGGGATCTCTGGCCAACAACTCCAAAAGAGGGAGTCCATTCCTGGCATTAGGTTTTTCATTTGTGAGCCTATTAAGCCCATTAAGCACTATTATAGGGTGACTATCTTTAAACTCTTTTTGTATTGTATATGTTGAGAGAAGCTTCCATGGTAGGTTTCTACATAATTCTTTCAAAAGACCTTTAGTGTTAGTTATCCCTCCTCTTAGTCTCTCTTCTGCCCCATCCTCCCATTCTCCACCCCATTCAACCCATCCTATTTTTGACTCCCGTTTTCCCATTTATACAACTGAATTCTAGGTCCCATGAACTACCCATATGACACCTTATCAGTTTCTAATCTTTAGGAATTTTCCAATTGAAGCACACCTATCTGAAGATTGGACACTGTCGTCCACTTACAAGAAAGAACATGAGATGTTTGTCTTTCTGGGTCTGTCTGGGTTATCTCACTTAAGATGAATGTTTCCACTTCTACCTATTTACCTGCAGATTGCATGATTTTGTTTATCTTAACAGCTGAGTAATTTTCTGTTGTAAATGTACCATACTTTCATTATCCATTCATCAGTTGTTTCCATTTCCTGGCTACAGCAGCAGTGAACACGAATGAACCAGGTATCTCTGTAGTAGGATACAGAGTCCTTTGGGTATATGACCAAGAGTGGTATGGCTGGATCACATGGGAGCTCTATTTTTATCATTTTGAGGAACCTCCACATTGATTTTCATAATGATTGCACCAGTTTACATTCCCACTGTTCTCCTTTCCCCACATCCTCACCAACATTTGTTGTCATTTGTTTTTTGGATCTTAGCCATTCTGGCTGGTATAAGATGAAATCTCAAAGTAGTTTTTATTTGCCCTTCCCTGATGGCTAAAAATGTTGAACAGATTTTTTTAAAGTATTTTTCAGCCATTTGTGTTTAATTATTTGGGAACTCTGTTTCATTCCTTGCCTCAATTTTTAATTGGGTTATTTGTCTTTTTGATATTTAGTTTTCTGAATTCTTTTATTAACCCTCTGTTAACAGAATAGCTGGTAAAGATTTTTTTTCCCATTTTGCAGATTCTCTTCACTCAAATGATGCCCTTTGCTGTACAGAAACTTTTCAGTTTCGTGTGGCCCCATCTGTCAATTGTTGGGTTTAATGCCTTCATTATCAGAGTCCTGTTCAGAAAGTCCTTTCCTGTGCTTGTAAATTTGATGTATTTCTTACTTTCTCCTCAATTAGTTTCAGGGTATCAGGTTCTTAGGTTAAGGTCCTGGGTCCGTTTTGAGTTGAGTTTTATGCACGGTGAGAGATAGGGATCTATTTTCATTCTACATGTGTCTATCCAGTTTGAACAACATCCTTTGTTGACTTTGTTGAAAATGCTGTCTTTTGTTCAATATGTAGTTTTGGCCCCTTTGTAAGAAATCAGATGACTGTGAGTGTATGGACTTAAATCTGGGTCTTCAATTCTATTCCATTGATAAATGTGTCACTGTCACTGTTTTTATTACTATAGCTCTGTAGTATAATTTGAATTAAGGGATGACGATACCTCCAGCATTTCTTTCAGGATTGTTTTGGTTATTGTGTGTGTGTGTGTGTGTGTGTGTGTGTGTGTGTGTGTGTGTGTGCACATGCTTCCATATAAAATTTGAGATTTTTTTTCAATTTTTGTGAATAGTTGTGTTGGAATTTAATGGGTATTGCATTGAATCTGTAGATTACTTTTGGTAGAATGTCCATTTTCACAATATTAATTCTTCTATGAGCTCAAGAGGTCTTTCCATCTTCTGGTATCTTCAATTTCTTTCTTCTATGTCTTAAAGTTTTTATTGTACAAATCCTTCACTTCCTTGTTAGATTTATTCCAAAATATTTAATGTTTGTGGGGGCTATTACAGATGGGATTGTTTCCCTATTTCTTTTTTTAGTATGTTTGTTGTTGTTACATGTGAAGGCTACTGAGTTTTGGGTGTTCATTTTATATACTGCTACTTTGCTGAATGAGCTGTAGGAGTTTTCTGGTGAATTCTTTAGTATCTTTTATGTATAGAATCATAACCATCTACAAATAAGGATATTTTGCCTTCTTCTTTTCTAATTTGTATCTCCTCTATCACCTTCATTTGTCTTGTTGCTCTAGCTAGAACTTCAAGTACTATGTTGAACTGGGTGTTCATTTTATATACTGCTACTTTGCTGAATGAGCTGTAGGAGTTTTCTGGTGAATTCTTTAGTATCTTTTATGTATAGAATCATAACCATCTACAAATAAGGATATTTTGCCTTCTTCTTTTCTAATTTGTATCTCCTCTATCACCTTCATTTGTCTTGTTGCTCTAGCTAGAACTTCAAGTACTATGTTGAACAGGAATGGAGAGAATGGACATCCTTGTTTTGTTCCTGATTTTAATGGAAATTCTTTTGAGTTTTCCTGTTTCGTATAATATTGGCTATGGATGGACTTGCATGCAATGGTATTCTCCTAGCTTTTTTTCAGGGGGGTCTTTTTGAGACAGGGTCTCCCTGTAGCTCCAGCTGTCCTGGAACTTACTATGTAGACCAGGCTGGCCTCAAACTCACAGAGATCCCCCTGTCTCTGCCTCCCAAGTGCTGAGATTTTTCCTTTAGGTCTTCATGCTGTTTGGAAGCTAAGTGCTATTCAGTATGGGGCACGAATTCCATTTTGCTTTTGATCTGTGGAGACTAATAGTTTCAGACTGAACAGCCGAGTTTGTGTGTGTGTGTGTGTGTGTGTGTGTGTGTGTGTACACTGATTTGTCACACACATCCTGTCCCATTGTTTCCTGCATCTCTCCACACTGCCTTGATCATTGAAACTCTTGCCAACTCCATCCCTGGTTAAGAAAGACTTCCGCCTCTACCACACTCCTCATTTTGCTATTATTCAAAATTAGTGGGCTAATTCTTAGGTCTTAGGATTTGACTCTGCATATGAATTTTAGGATCAATCTGTTTAGTTGTTTGGTGGTGGTGGCCAGCTTTGAACTTTGTATGTAGACCAGGCTTCTTGAGTGCTTAGATTAAAGGTGTATGCCACCATACCCAGCTAGTTCAGTCTGTTTAGATAAACACACACACACACACACACACACACACACACACACACACACAGAGATTTTAATTTGCTATGCATTTGAATTTATAGAGTACTTGGTAGAGAATTGACATCTTTACAGTACTAAGTCTGTTCATTCATGAAATTACTCAGTTTTTCTTTCATGTCCTTGGAAGTTTTTACCTTTTATTGACTAGAGATGTAAGCCCCAGCATTGAAAAAATAAAATAAAAATCTTTAAATTTTTTTCTGTAAAAGTCTTATACATCTTTCATTAGATTTCCTCCTCATTTTTCTAAGAGGTTTGTTTGTTTGCTATTGTTGTTTGTAGGAACCCAGGGCCTCACAAATGCTAGCACTCTACCACTGAGTCACATGCTCAGTACCCTTACAGTTTTTGTTGCCAATGTTAATGGGATATTTTTCCTATTATATTTCCTAAGTAGGTATTTTGATACTGACTTTTGTATGTTGCTCTACTATCTGGAAACTTGGCTGAACCCTCTTAGTAGTAAGAGTTCTTACTATTCTTCTGAATTGAGTCTTCAGAATTGTCTATATAGGCCTTATCCCGTCTTTAAATAAAGAGGGTTTCATTTCCTTTCTCATTGCGGATTGAATACAGTTCATGTTGTATTCTGTGTCAAATTATGAGTTTTTTCTTAAAGATTTCAGGTAGAGAAGCAATGTTGTATTTCCATTTTAGAAAGGCAATGTGGCAACCCAGCAGAAATGTGACTGAGATCAGCAGCGGGCCAGTTAAGGGACTCTTGTATAGTTAGAGATCCTAAGAGGCCAACCTGGATAGGATCAGAAGGAAGGAAGTGATATTTTAGAGTTAGGACCACAGACAGGGACCAGGAAAATCAGTAAATGGGGTTGCTAAGATGCCCACAGTTGACCATGGTGCTTGGAAGTCTATAATTACAGCTATAGTGATGAAGGTAAGGGGAGCAGCAGGTTTGGCCACTGAAGCACCGTGCTTTTCATAGGATGAGGCTAGTTGTTAGGAGCTTATGTGCTGTGCAGTCATTCTCACCTGTGTAGTGTGAGCAGACTTTCCCTTCATTTCTCTTTCATTTCTCCTCTGAAATCCCTATGTAGATATGTATCAGCCTGATGGGGAGCTTCCAGTGACTCAGAGGCTGGAGAGTGAACTTGGTGTGTTAGATGCAGATATTGTTCCAGAAGAAGCCCCATTTATTTTGGGCCACAATACAGGGTTCAAAGATGAAGCATTAGCCGTAGCAAAACCAAGAGCAGTGAAAAAGAAGACTGTGATGGAGAACATGCCATTTAGGAAGAAAGATCCATTGGAGTCAGCCACACTACAGCAAGTATGAAGTCATTCCTTTTGGGGATTCGTTCATATTAATCTGATATTGTGTAAGGTCATACAAGCTAGTAAGGAGCAGGACCAGCATTTCCTTTGGCGTAGATAGAAGCCAGAGCCCTGAGTCCAGCAATCTAAGCTGGCTTAGCTTGGTTCCATATTTGTTTTGTACCTTAACAAAAACCAGTTAGGATGGGACACGGTATTCTGACCTGCCCTGGTTCAGTAAGATCCTAACTAATTTGATGTCATGCTCCTAATTGGGCAGTTTGCTTTAAAATTCCAAGATTTGAAAGTGTGAGATTTGAGAAGATTTGTTTCTGTTCCTGCTAAAGATAAATATTGATCCACAATAGCCACTGAATATTAAAGAACCCTTTTAGGTGAGTGTTTTTTAACATGGCCTTTGGAGTTAGCTGGGTAGTTACAACTTGTGATCTGAAGCTACCTTACATTTTAAACTTCTATCTAAAACTTCCATAGTGTCCTACAATGGAAAATGGACCAGTTGAACACCTCCTAGTTCAATCCAGTCATTACAGGGACTCCTGCTCAGTGGTGCTGTCCAGGGGCCTTTGTAGCAAGCCCACATATTGTCACATGACCCTGGAAAAAGGAGACTGACAGATTACCAGTTATTGACAGATCATGGGTTAGGATCAAGTCTTCATTCTTTCCTAAATAAACTTGAAATGGGGTTGTTGGGAAGTCAGAATTGAGCCTGTAAGAATTCTACTGGATTCTTGTCTCAAAAGACAGGGCTTCATGCCCGATGATATTTAAAATTGTGTGACTCCTTGTAGTTAAACCTAAGGTTCAGAAAGTTTAAGTGTCTTAACCAAGAATATTTTGCAATTTACCTGTAAACAATATGGAATTTAAAAAATTCTAGTTTTGGGGGCTGGAGAGATGGCTCAGCAGTTAAGAACACTGGCTGTTCTTCCAAAAGACCTGGGTTCGAATCCCAGCACCCACATGGCAGCTAGCAACTGTCTGTAACTCCAACTACAGGGGGTCCGATGGCCTCTTCTGTCCTCCACGAACATTGCACGACACATTACCTACATGCAGGCAATATACATATACACATAAAGTAAAAATAATAAATAAAATATTTTTTAAATGCTTTTAAAAATTTGAGAATTAAGGAAAGAAATTGCATATGTATGCGGAAGAGCCAAGGGTCCTAGGTGTACCCCTTTCTAGGTTTGCTTCAGTATAACTTATAAACTCCTCACATTCTTTTTCTATTAGCTTTTAGAATGGATACATGAATAGCAAAGAGGCATTTCGAGCTTCAGTGAGTCAGAGGCTGAAACCAGACTGTCTTTGATACTTGTTTGGCTTTGTAATTCATGTTTACTTCTTACAGGGACTCCACAGATCTGAAAGAAATAGACCAAGCCAACCTTACAGCAAAAGCAGGTTGCAACAGACAACAGTGTCATCCAGATTAAAAATGAACCGACAGCCTGTGAAAGACCATAGGGCTCCTTGGATACCTCCAAACCCCACATCCCCACCGGCATCTCCTAAGTGGTATGCAAAAATTCAAGGGTATGAGCTTGAGTATGTGGTTGTATTTTTCTTTCACAGATTAAAGGTGATAAATACATTAGAGCAAATAGACTCATAAGCTTAATTCTTCCCAATGAGCAGAAAAGCTTATTGGTGAGTGATAATATGAAGTTTCTGTCTAAAACCCTCTTGATACCTTTATGGACCTGGCTATGGGTGGAGTACCACAGTGCCTAATGGTATGGGTCATTGTAGAATCATAGACTATGTTGTCTCCTCTACCAGCAGATTCTGTTTATCTAAGGCTAGGCACTGTAACCCTCTTATCTCTTAATGCCCAATGCCTACATATAATAGACAATCACTGAATCTTTGCTGAATGTGTAACTATATAAAAATAGTTTTCAGGCTGGAGAGATGGCTCAGTTAAGAGCACTGACTGTTCCTGCAGAAGACCCAGTTTCAAATCCCAACAGCCACATGGTGGCTAGCAACCATCTGTAACTCCAGTTCCAGGGGATCTGACACCCTTTTCTGTCTTCTATGGGCACTGCATGACACGGACACACTTACATGCATTCAGGCAATACACTCATATACATTAAAAAAAATAGTTTTTATTCCACATCAAGATAGTTGTGAACTATGAACTCATCCGTGTTTCCCTAGATTACTGTCTTGTCACCCACCCTCACAGCGTGAGGACAGTGTGGAGCTGCCATCCCACAGGACTAGAGAGAAGATATTGTCCTTATGGAGAGCACAGTCCAGTTTGAAATAGGCTCTGGGGGATTTGGTTGAACATAAAGGGGATCTTTTTTGCCACGATTTGGTAGTTTTCAACAGCACAGTGGAAAGAACCAGGAGGTTGAGCAGTGCAAAGAAGAAAGCCAAAATAATAATGTGAAGAGAACAGGGAAAGGGCAGCTGGCTGTGTGAGTGGACAGTAGGAGCAGCCTGCTCGAGGGAGTCCCCTTGTGATTGTGAATGGTCTGAATCAGTGGTAATGGGTACCCATCAGCTTCACTGTAAAGGGAAAGAAACAGTACTAAAAGAATTTTATGTTTGCTCACATCACAGAGCTGTGACCAAAAGCTGGTCTTCTGATTTTATTGTGTGATTTTGTTTTGTTTTGTTTTCATTACCTTGTTCTGATTTCTATATCTTTATATATGTTAACACAGGGATGTGAGTTCAGTTGGTAATATAAAGCATCAGTGGAGTGAAGTTTGCACTGTTAACCAGATATACAATAAGTGTGTGGTGGGTGGAGAAGCAGGGTAGTTAAGGCTTCCTGGATCACGGTGTTGTGCGAGGCATTACACAGACACCTACAGGAATAGAACTTAGAATACTATTCCTATTCGTCACTCAGATCTGTATAAAGCAGGTTTTGTGAATTACGTTTTGTATTCTATGACAGTGTTTTTTCATTAAAATAGTGACTGCTTCTTTGAGACAAAGGGTTCTCCCCGCCCTTTGACATGGGGCCTGGGAGCTAAGAGATCTTGCCCTTTACCATTCCTTTCTCATGCAGGCACCAGGCACCCAGCCATAGATGAGCTTTCCTGTAATGCTCTTGGGAGGACTCACAGGACATGCATTGAATGATTTAAAAAGGCACACTTTTCCATTTTGTGCAGTACCGCATGGCTCAAGGTGAAGTCCAGCCCTAGAGATATTACAAAAGAACAGTCTCTCCAGCAAGAAAACACCCACGAGGGAAGTCAGCTGCAAGGTGCTGCTGAGCAGAAAGCAGCCAGGTTTGTATTGGCATTTTTCAAATCTTTGAAAATTAAAGGGCTCCATTTATATAGACTCTGAAACAAACCCCTTCTTGTCCTTCTGTCGTAAAGATGATTATTTAAAAGGTAGGTTACTGAGCTTTTCTATTACACTCTACAGCTTAAACTTACCACAGGCCCACCCCTCTTTTATTCCTTCTTATTTCATTCATTCAAAAATTATATGTGTTATTTGGTAGTTTTGTGCATGGCACAGTCGTATGCTCTGTGTACCTTTTAAAAAAGAGCAAATAAGACATAATCCCAGTCCCTCTTATTTGCAACCAGCAGGGAATATATGAAATTAGCTGTGATTCAAGATAGAACATGATATATACTCTAAGAACTGAATGAATTCAGAAGGGGGAGAGCTTACCTCTTGCTGCAGAGAATGAGGCTTTATGCAGGGAAGGGGAAATTAAACCAGGACTTGAACAGGCAGGATTTAAATATGGGGGATGTAATGAGAGCATTCCGAAGGAAAAGAGCAGTGAAAACAGCTTGCTCTGCATTTGTTTGGCTGAAATTACCCTTGTAATTATGGAAAAGCACAAATGAAAGTGGGTATTAGGGCTGGGGAGTAGCTCAGTGGTAGAGCATGTGTCTAGCGTGTGAGGCCCCAATTCAATCTTCAGCCCTTTTCTTATAAGCAGTCCTGAGAACAGTGATGATTGGTTTTCTTATAGGCAGCTTCTTATTGTTCTACATACTAATTTGAAGTTCATAGGTATGTATCCCTTTAAAGGAGCATAGTGTGGAGGGTTTCTTGGGTATAGAGGGGTTACATTACTTCTCAAGTCGTTTAATGGAGCCAGGATTGGTGCTGAATTGGGGGAGTGGGCTCTCACTTCTGCTTTATGTCTGTGGTAATGACACCCTGTGGCAATGAGGCATGGTTGTCTTGACTCTTGTCTGTTAGGCTCACTTGGCTAGATGCTGAGTCCAAAAAACTGAAGGAACTAGAAGAACTGGAAGCCAAAGAAATGGACAGAATGCAAAAACAGAGGTAAACATTTGTTTCTGGGGTAGAAAAAGGTAGGCAAGCTTATTCTGCATCCTCTCCTTTGATAGTGAGTCAATTGTTGATGTCAGCTGCACTTCTTGTGCTTACTGGCTTTCTGCCTCCTTAAGACTATGGAGCCACCTAGGAAGCCTATGGTGGAGCCAAGACAGAAGCTAAGGGAGTCCTGACTCTGCCTTGAGGAGAGCTGGCCTGACTATACTTTCCTTTAGGCTTGACTGGCTTGAGGCTGAGACTTCGAGAAGAACCAAGGAGCTGAATGAACTGAAAGCTGAAGAAATGGATAGACTTCAGAAATTAAGGTTTGTGTTTCCTTCTGAGGAGTAATAGGGGATGAATACCCACTGTAATTGATCCAGATAGTTTTAACAGCCAGCTGGAACTGTTAGACCTCACCTCATTCTAGGTGTAAGTGGATGAATAAATGAATAAATGAATGCATGAATGAGCACTTGCATGCCTGCATGGAGTGTGTAAAGGAGAATTGGTAAGCTGTGTTTGCTTATTTGTCACATTCAAAGGTGCTTTTCTCTAGAAGAGGCTAGTTTTCCTAAGGTCAGAAAGTGAGTAGACATATGTGGTCTGTGTGTGAGTGTATGGATGCTTTTGTTTCACATGATAGCTGGAATGCAGTCTGAGGCTTTCAGAAGAGGTTGCTTTTTTCCCCATTCATTCCCTAAGAGTGCTGCCAGCCAACTAGGCTTGAAGCAGTATGTTTAGATGTAGTAGACCTGCTGCCACTGCCACAGTTGACTTTTTCTACCTTTGATAATTACTCATCCTGTAGTCAGATGAACAAAGCACTCATTGAAACATCTGTACATTTTATCTCAATGACAAGAGCATTCAATCCCAGTTATAGGGCTGTGGTTCTCTCATGAGAGGGCCAACGTATCTATGGTTGAGATTTCAAGTTACATAATCACTGAATCTTAGGATCTGAAGGATTTTTTTACCCCTAATTGATGCTTCCAGCCTCTGTCCTGTCTCCAAGAAGTAAGTGGCCAGCATGTATGTGTACATGTCTCTGATGGGGTGGTCACTGCTGTTGGAGGCATCTACGCCTTGGTCATCTCTAGCCATTGGAAGGTATAACCTTACATTGGGCTAAAATTTGATTGCTGACTCCTCCCCACCTGTCTTTTCATGTCTCATTTATTGTTTTCTGTGTATGTTCATTCATGAAAGATTAAATGTGTCATATGTATAGAAAAGCATACTAAGTGCACATGTCTAATATGGAACATTACAACACGAATACCTGTGTACTGCCTCCTAAGCCAAGTAATATTGTTGTAGAAGCTTCTAGGATGTCCCTGGTTGCACCTTCCTTCTTGTAGAGGCAGCTACTGTCCTGATTCCTGTGTTAATCTTTTCATTACCTTTGTTCATGTATCTACTACCAATGTTTGCATTTCTGCCAATAACCTACTTAATTTTGGAAATGAGAAGCACAAGTTGAGCTGAACTAAGGGAAGGGCAATGATATTAGATGAAGACTCAAGAAAATAGGTTGCAGAGTCTGGATCATAACCAGACTTTAAGCTTCCCTCAGGGTGTTCAGGAGCCCTACTGAAATCATCAAGCAAGAGCGTGTGTGAGTCTTGGCAGACATAAGGCAGACCACCTCAGAGGTGGTACATGTCTGTAAGACTAGCACTTGGAAGACCAAGGCAGGAGTATTGCCGTGAGGCCAGCCTGAGCCTATAGCAAGACCTTATCTCTACAAAACCAAAATAATATAATAAATGGGAGGAAAGGAGGGAAGAAGTCTTTTCAGACATTTCAAGCCTAAACATGCCAATTCTACACTTATATTTACTAATATCATATATGTATTATTAGCCATATTGTAGAATTCTTATTTGGAAGAGATTTTTAGTGGAAAATTTGTTATTATTAAACATTTTATTATTAATTATGCATCCATGCTAAGTTGTAATAATACCAAGAAAAATCTTGGCTACTGTTTACTCAGTTCTGTCAACATAATGTCCTAGCAAACTTGGACTACAATTAGCATGTGAATATTTTCACAGAGAGGGTCCATTTGACTGACTGGCGTTGATACGGTCAAGCACAGACCCATCGCCACTGCTGCCCTCCTGTGCCATGCTGACTCTCCTACTACAGTACTTCTTGTCTTAGCAACCCTTGGCAGCTACTAATCTGGTCTCATTTATAGTTTTATTGTTTTAAGATTGTTACTTAAGGGAAACATACCATATATTACCTTCTAGAGCTTACTTTTTTAAATTGCATTTATTTTTGGTGGTGAGGGGCAGCATGCCACAGTGCACATGTGTGGAGTTCAGAGAACAACCTTGAGGAGTCTTGTTTTCCTTCTACCATGTGGGTTCTGGAGATTGAACTCAGGGTGCTAGTCTTGGCAGTGAGTTCCTTTACCCAAGAGCCATCTCCCCAGCCCTCGAATTAGTTTGTATTCCTGACAATTCTTTGAAGATCCATCCAGGTCATTTCATGTTATTTTGTGCATTCTTTTTCTTGTTAATTTGAATCCCATAATTTAACCACCCATCATCTGGTTAAGCAACTAAGAGACATCTGGGTTGTTTTCAGTTTGGCATTATTGTGATTAAAGATTATATAAATATCCATGTACAGGCATTTGTATGATTGTGTTTTTATTTCTCTGTACTAAGTGCCCAGAGTAAAATTGTTGAGTTGTATGCTTGTTGTACATTTTGGTTTTCTATAAAACTGTCCAAATATTTTCTAATATTACTGGCAGTGTTTGAGGGATCCAGTTGTCCTACATTTTTGCCAGCACTGAGGGTATCACTGGGTTTGCTTTAGACATTGTGATAGGTGTGTGGTGGTACTCTTCCCCACAGCTAATGACCTGCTTCCTTACAAAGATGATGCAGAGCATCTTTCCATGTGTTTGTTTGCTGTCTGCTCTCTTTGCCACCATATGGCACAGGTTTCTTTTTATGGTTAGGCAGTTATATTCTAAATAATTCCTTTTTTCCTTGGCTACCCATTTCTTGGTCCTTTGGCCAGGGAGAGTGAGATCTTATTTTATTTTTACTCTATTGACAATTCTGAGTTCTTTTCTAGTTGTTCCTCATCCTTGTTTACATTTGATCTTATCTGTCTTTAATTTTAGTCTTTTTGATAAGAACATGGTGGTTTGATTACCATGTCCCTGATGACTGGTGATCATGAACACTTTCTAATGCTACATATGAAATGTCCAAGTCTTTTGCCTATTTTAATTCTTTACAATTAAAACATTTTGCCTGCATTTAAGTATACCACGTGTATGCAGTGCCTATGGAGGCCAGAAGAGAGCAGAAAATCCCTGGAACTAGAGTTAACTATGGTTGTTAGCCACCATGTGGGCACCATGACCTGGGAACAGAACCCAGGTCCTCTGCAAGAGCAGCCAGTGCTCTTAACTGCTGAGCCATTTCTCTAGTCTCTTGTTTTTAAATTTTTTAAAATCTTTTCATTTATTTATTTGTTTATTTATTGTGTGTATATGTGTATGCACAGGCACTCATGTGCATGCCACAATGCACATGTGGAGATAGATGACAACTTGTGGGCCCTAGGTATCAAGCTTAGGTCATTGGGATTGGTGGCAAGAGCATTTTACCCACTGAACCATCTCGCTGGTCCTCTTTTTTAAAATTATTGGATTCTTCATATTTTCTGGATGTCAGCTCTTTGCCAAATATATGCAGCAAATATTTTCTTCCAGTATTATAGTTTGACTATATATTTTCTTAATGATGGCTTTTAATGACTAGAAGTTTTTTAAAAATTATTTTTATTTTATGTGTATGTGTATGTTGCCTGCATGTAGGTAAGTGCACCCATGTCATGCAACACCCTCAGAGGACAGAAGAGGCTGTTGGATCCCTTGGAACTGGAGTTAAGGACAGTTGTTAGCTGCCATGTGGGTGCTGGGATTCAAACCCGGGTTTTCTGCAAGAACAGCCAGCGTTCTTAACCACTGAGCCATCTCTCCAGCCCCATGACTAGAAGTTTTAAATTCCAACTAATACCAATTTATCAAACTTTTAAAATTTTATTTATTTTCAGAGCTGAGGACTGAACCCAGGGTCTTTTGCTTGCTAGGCAAGTGCTCTACCACTGAGCTAAATCCCCAACCCCAATATTTATTTATTTTTATCTTATGTGTATGTGTATTGCCTGCATGTACATAAGTGCACCCATGTTGTGCAATGACCATGGAGGTCAGAGAGGGTATCTGGAAACCCTGAAACTGGAGTTCAGACAGTTGTTAGCCACCACGTGGGTCCTGAGAATTGAGCTCAGGTCCTCTGCAAGAGCACCCAGTGCTCTTTGACTGCTGATCCATCTCTCCAGCCCCCAAACTTTCTTATGGTTAGTCTTATTGTCCAGGTTAATAACTTTGTGTATGTCAGATGAGATATATGAGATAGAAGCTATTCCAGCATCCTGAGATGACAAGGTTATAGAACTTGGGCTGAGGGCCAGTCAGATAGATTGTTGCTGAGGGCCCTTTATTGGCCTTTTGTGTTTCTTTGGGGTGAGTTGGGCTAACCAGAGAGGAGGGTTTTTTTAATTGGCTGATTTTGATTTTATGTGTATGAGTGTTTTGCCTGTATGTTAAGTATACCCATGTAGTTAGTGCAAAGCCTGCAGAGGCCAGAAGAGAGTGTCAGATCCCCTGGAACTGGAGTTATAGATGGTTGTTAGCTGTCATGTGAGTGCTGGGAATCGGACCTGGGTCCTCTGGAAGAGCAGCCAGTGCTCTTAACCACTGAACCATCTCTCCAGCCCCCAGAGAGGAGATTTTTGACCTTCTGCCCAGAGGATGAACATCTGGGCATTGCTGACCTAGGAGTTGAGCTGGGAGGGACTGGAAGTCTTCTGGCTAAGCATTCAGCATCTGTATGTGCACCCTCCTTCCAAGGAACTGCAGCCCTATCTGTGAAGGGTCATCACTAGTCCAGACAACCTTCAGAGAATGAACAGCTAGACTTCCTTAGAGATGGGGGCAAGTGGCTGCCTAAAACTGCACAGTAGGAAAAGGGAACCCTGGGTCTGGATTCTTAAACACACTTTGCTCCTGTGTACCATGTTCAGTTACCACCTGCCAGCTCCTGAAGCCTAGACATGTCTGGTACTACCAAATGCATACCTAAGTTAGTGATCCACATTTCGTGGGCTTTCAGTTTTCCTGATTCCTGCCCTAGAATTCAGCTTTTTCAGGTCAGCAAGTTACTTTGTCCTTTGTCTTCCAACATTTCCTTTTTATCTCCTTGTCTTGTGAGTTTATAATTCTATTTTGCTAGAGTTTTCAAAGGGAACAAAATTAGTTCCTTCTGTTCAGTCTGCCACCCGCTTCAGGTTTTCAGAGGCAACTGTAAGGTTTTTTGAGGTGTCCTCAGAGCCTGACACCCTTCTTCGGATGTTGATAGAAATTCTCCTTGCAAAATGGGGCCACTAGCAGTGCCACCTCATCTGGGAGCTTGTTGGAAACTTTGGCCTTAGACTATCTGAATCCAAATCTACATTTAATAAGTCCCAGGGGAAGTGCATGGTCATTGCTATTAGAGGAGCACTGTAGGGTTTGTAATCACTGGAGTGATTAGATAAATACACAGAATAAATAGGATATATTCTGACTTCTGACTTGAATTTTCAATTTTATTTTTAAATAGTGTTTCTGCCACCCAGTTAGCAGACAAGGTAGAGGAGGCAGTTCTGGAGCGTTTGAAACCCCTCTTGCTCAAGGCCCAGGTAATAAATTCATCTCATTTGCTTGCCTTTGGAAGTCCTGAAATGAAAAGAGTTGCTGTAGAGGTCACATTGACCTTTTTAAAAGGACCGAGTATCTCTTTGCTGGTGGTAGGCCACAGGGCTGTTGAGCCTGCAGTTCAGTGCTGCTGGGGCCCTTTGCCACCCCTATACCACCTACACACTATCCATGTGTCCTCAGGGAATGGGGGGGTGGGGGAGAGCAGGGCTTGTTAAAAAGGGTGACTTTTTAACTTGGGGAAAGAGTTTAGAGTGGCTTCTATTCTTAGTTACTCAGTCTATGGCAATGGTAGTATTCACTTAATGATCCCCTGAGTGCTGGTCTCTGTGACCTCGGTAGCTTAGAATGATTGGCTATTTTACCACAGAAAAGAGAGATTTGGATATCTGTACAGACAAGGACTTTCTCAAAGATGAAATGACTTAACATCCATACCAAGGCATTGTGTCACGCTCCTGTAAGCAGTAAGCTAAGCTCAGTGACAAGATCCAGAGGATCCACCCTGGAAATAGAAGCCATGGTGTTTGCATGCATAATAGATGAAGCTACCAAAGAATATTATAACCTTAAGTGAATGTCATTCTGGGTCCAAGAAGTGTTAAATTTAACTATAGTCCATGGAAAACTCAGGAGTACTAACCTCTTGGAGAGTTCTTAGAGGTAGAATAGTGCAACCTCTTCATTTGACCATTGAGGAAACCGTGGACCAGAGAAGTTGAATGACTTGCATAAATGCACACAGCTACTCTGGCAGTGTTTACAGAATTGAGGGCTGAAAAAATCCGAAGAGCTGAGAACAACACATGGCAGTTATTTTCATGAAGACAAAGTACTTTAATTGTTGCAAAAAAGCTTTAATACAGCTAGAGCTGATGAATAGTTCCACACAGAAGTTATTCTGGCAGCACAGTTCATTTGTACTAATATGAGTTGTGAATTTTTATAATCCATGAATGTATCTGTCTGTTTTAATAGAGAGTTAATTCTTCTGTGGAAGCAAATAATCATTTGAAGGATCGTCCGTCATTGAACGCAGAAGCAGCCCAGCCTACAGAGCAGGTGTGTGTTGTTGGTATTCTGGTATTATTATATGATAATGTCTCCAGTCAAAGGAAAATGATATGCAGATTACTTTGCAAACACTACATTATCCTACTCAAGGAGAGTGAAAATTATTTTTCCAATCTGGTATATTAATTCTTACAGTGCATATTTAGCATTTTGACTTTGCTTAGCCTTGCAAACAGCAGAGATGTGTCTAGAGCCACAGGTTTTTGTCTGTGGCTCTTTTATCTCCCTGATGACAGATTGTGGATACGCTGTGGCCCTGAGTGCTCATGGCCTACAGCAGAAGAGTAGCTGCCCTCATTTCCTTTCATTCAGCCTAGTTTAGCTCCTTACTGGCCTAATTTCCTTTATTCTTAACATCTCATATTTTTGTTAGGCAAACAGGATTTTAGTGCTTAGTATATGACCAGTGTCGGGCCTAGCAGAGAGAAGAAAAGGTTCGAGAAAGGAATGAAAGCATTGAAAAATAAAAGCCTATTTTGTTGTTGTGCACTCTGCTTCCTCTGGAGGATTCGCTTTCAATGTGTAGGGGACTGTTCCTGCCTTGCCTCGCCTTAAGGGCTTTGGAGTAGAAGGCACATATTGCACTCATTTAATTTTTCTAAGCATTGGAAAGATGCTTGTTGCTGTAATTGCTCAAAGCTAGTAACAGACAGAGCAGGTATAAAGAAGTTAGAAGGAAGTTGAAGCTCTACCAGCTCAGTGGCCTTAGGAGCAGGGAGAGAGCAGATTTCAAGATCATACCTACCATGTAATTATCAGGCACTATTTTGGCTATAGCTTTTTTTTTTTTTCCCTAAAAAAAAAAAAAGAGCCAGGCATGGTGGCGCATGCCTTTAATCCCAGCACTTGGGAGGCAGAGGCAGGCAGATCTCTGTGAGTTCAAGGCCAGCCTGGTCTACATAGTGAGTTTAAAAAAAAAAAAAAAAAAAAAAAAGAAGGGATCTCCTTATAGCCCCAGCAAGCCTAGAATTTGCTCCGCAGACCAGACCAGGCTGGCCTCGATCTCACAGAGAGCCTGTTCCTGCTCCCAAGTGCTAGGATTAAAGGTATGGGCCACTCTGCCTGGCCCACACACATATCTTAATTAACTAGACCTGTATTGTTGGTCAGGTTGTCTCTAGATTTTTGTTTGTAATTTTATAATATTGGTCATTCAACTGTTTTTTTTTTCTTTAAGGTTAAACTTTTTTTTCATTTCCTTATACTTTTATAAACTGTGAAAAAGGTTGTTTTGTTTCGTTTTTGTCCCTGTAGCCCCAGCTGACCTGGACTTTGTTATGTAGACCAGGCTGGCCTCAGGTTTTCTTTTTTAATTGCTTTAGCAGTGACTTTTCACTGTGTGTCTTTATTTTGTGCCATGCACTGTGCTAAGTGTCCCAATGCAGGCTCTCAGGCAATCCTTCTAACTCTGAAATACAAGACTGTTATTGCCATAATACAAATAAGAAGACAGATTCAGAGAGGCCCAGTAAACTTGCCCAAAGTTGCAGACTTTGAAGGGAAGAGCCAGACATTAATCTTAGGAATGTCTCATTCTTTATCTCGAAGGCATTTCTTTTTTAAAAATATTTTTTTTTTAAAAATTTTATTTTCATTTTATTTTATGTGTATGAGTGTTTATCCTGCATGTAAGTGCACCCATGTGTGCAATGCCTGTGGAGGCCAGAAAAGGGTGTTGGATCCCATGGACCTCATGTTACAGATGGTTGTTAGCTGTCATATGGCTACAGGGAACCAACCTGAGTCCTTTGCAAGAGTTGCCAGCTCCTAGAAGACAGTCTTTGCAAAGACCTCTTTCAGAGCAGATCATAGACATGTATTAGAATGAAGAAAAATACAATGCATGTAGAAATGCTATGCAAACTATAAAGTACTTTATGGATTTAAAGTATATAAGATCAAGAGAAGCTGGTAAGGTTCTCTTAGATCATAAATCATTTAATGACTAATACGGATTGTGCTGAAGGTTAGTGCTTTATGTTATATACTCACTGGGAAGTTTGTTCTGGCATAGAATCTCGGCCAATTGGGTCACTGTGCTGTTGGGTTGTTAGGATCAGCAGCAATCCTTAATTCTTCTGTTCTCTCTGTATCATATTTCCACCCTTTCTTCATTTTGTAGGCTGCTGATGTCAATTCTGAATCCAACGATATTCGTCAGATGGGTGACTTTTTGGAAGATACTGCTCATGAGCTCTGGGCTATGGCTCATGCTAATATCATGGGCTCGGGAACCTTGGCCACATTGGGGGATAGCAAGGACAACCCAGATCTGGAGACCATGTTGCTCCGGTTGGAGGAGATGGAAGTAAGGTCTGGGGCTGCTGGCCTGTTTTGCCACTGAGTGCTTACCTCTGCACCCCCCATGCTGCTGACACTTAATATGGCAGAGCCATTGGGATCCTGTTCTTAAGTCCCAGTTCTGTTGCTAAGTGTATGACTTTGATGTAGTCATTTACCCTGTCTGTGAGTGGGGGTTTTGAGGACGGAATAAGATATAAAGTATTTAGCAAATGTCTGACATTTAACCCAGTAAATGGTTGGTCCATACTATTTACCTCCTGATAACAGTAACTTGTGATTCTGAAAACACTGAACCAGGTCTTGGTCCTGAAGTTTGAACCCTGGGCTTTTGCATCAGTCAGTTTATAGGCACCATTCAGTTGCCTCTGCAGTATGATCCTTTCAAGTCCTAGATAGCTTCACTTTCTTTAATTTCCAAATACAGTTTTTAAAACTCCTTTAATCCTAGCAGCACTCAGGAGGCAGAGGCAAGTGGATCTCCATGAGACCAAGGCCAGCCTGGTCTACATAGCAAGTTCCAGGCCAGCGGGGACTACAGGGAGACCCTGTCTCAAAAAGACCAAAAAATATAAATAAAAAAAATTTTTTTTTAAAATGCTTTTCCTCATAAACTTTTTGATCTCAAATATGAGCCATCTCAACCACTGGATCATTCAAGAACAGGAATCTTGACCCAGTAAGGAAGTGGTATGGCTAAGGTCATAAAAAAAATTACTGGAAGAATTAGAAAGGTTGTCCAGTTCTGACTTCATGCCCAGCATTTTCTTTTTAGTTATATCATGATTAAATTTCATTCTTCTTTGTTGTTAAATAGAAACATTATAAAGAAGATAATTTTTGGTTGGTTTTGAAAAGTTAAAGATACACAGTTTATCTTACTCTTAACTGCTTTCCTTTTCTTGAAGAAATGGAAACATAAACAAATGGAAATTAAAATACAGGTGGTCCATAGGTAGACAAGAGACATAATGTGTCTGCCATCACAGCAGGCTCCAAGGATGAGCTGGTGGAGCTTGAGGTGGTGTGCATCATGCTGCAGATCTTAGGCTTCTTTTCATGAGCTACTTGCTTCTTGGCCCAGCAGATGCCCATTCCAGCACTGTCTCTGTATTATTTGTGTCTGCTGAACTTTTTCCATCCAACTACTTTTGGTTTATAATGAAACTTATTTTTTCTCATAAATTAAACTTTCTTTTTTAAAGAAATACCAGGAGACAGTTCGCCAAAGATATAATAAAATCGTATATGCTGACCCTCATTTATGGACGCACGAAGAAAGAAATGGTAGGTGTTTCCCCCACCTTTCCTCCAGTATTTTCTTCTAAAAGATTTCAGGCATACTGAAAAGTTGGAAAAAATTGTAGTGGTTACTGAAACCCCCGTCTTTTAAGTTGTACAGTTAATATGTTGCTCTGTTTACCCCTCTCTCCTTAGTTCATCTCATCTTTACATTTCAAATGACCTTACCCATGTATCTCAAAGTAAATTGCCAGACACCAGTACACCTCCCCCCAAACATGCAATATCAGCTTGAGCTTCATATTTGTTTATGGCTTTGTGGTGTTGTTTTTCTGAGATAAAATTTACATGTAAGGGCTAGGGAGATGACCCAGTGAGTGTAGTGCTTGCTGAATAAGCCTGGGACCTGAGTTCAGATCCCCAGAACCCATATAAAAGCCAGGTGCGGTACCACAGTGTCTGTAATCCTAGCATGCTCCTACCTGGAGATTGGATGCAGAGAGATGAGAATCACCAGAAGCTTGTGGTGCTGATGCAGCAGTGAACAAGAGAGACCCACCTCAAATAAGGTGGAAAGAGAGGAGGACTGATAGCCATGTCCTCTGACCTTCACATGCATACAAATTAATTCATTAATTAATTATAAAATGTACATATAATGCACAGATCTCAACTTCATCATTTGAGGGGGTTTGCTGACAAATGAATCTATCCAGACACAGCACAAGCTATTGACTCAGAAAGTTCTCTTATATTCTTCCTAGTCAGTGCCCTAGTGCCAGGCAGCCACCAGTGTTGACTAATCTAGAGGTTTGTGTAGGGGTGACCTCTTGCTCAAGTATGTGTTCTTGCCGGGATGCTTTTCACTTAGATAGCATTTTATAGATTTGTGACCATTCTTTTTTCCTGTTGCTGCTGTAACAAAAGCGATAACATTTGTAATCCATGAATTAGTGAGTTAGAACACAAATGTATTCTCTCTCAGTTCTAGAGGTCAGAAGTCTGGGAGTGTTTTGAAAGACTGAAGGCAAGATGCTGACAGGGCTGGTTCCTTCTGGAGGCTCCTGGAAAGGATCTGTTCCTTAAGTTTCTTACCATTTCTGCTGCTGCCATTCCCCCAGCATGTGGCCTTATTACTGCCAAGTCTTTCCTCAGTCAACTCTTTCCTTTGTGGTCAGATCTTACTCTGTTTGCCTATTGTAAAGACATTTATGATCACATATAGGGATACTCCCCCTGCCCATCTCAAGATTCTTAAAGTGCCTTTTGCCATGGAGGTAACACAGATTTCAGGAAGTAGGATGTAAGCATCATGGGGTCTATCATTTACCCTGCTAGTAGTTCCTTTACTTTTTTGTTGTTGTTTGTTTTGGGTTTTTTTTGAGGGGGGGGTCTTTTTGAGACAAGGTCTCCCTGGAGCTGGAGCTGGCCTTGAGCTCACAGAGATCCACTTGCCTCTCCCTCCACACTTGGTTTCTTTTTTCTTTCTTTTTTTTTTTTTTTTGGATGTGTATGAATGTTATGTCTGCATGTGTATAAGTGCATCTCATGTCATGCAGTATGCATGGAGGATGGAAGAGGGTATTGGAGCCCCTGGAACTGGAGTTACGGATGGCTGTTAGCTGCCATGTGGGTGCTGAGAATCGAACCTGAGCTTTCTGGAAGAACAGCCAGTGTTCTTAACCACTGAGCCATCTCTCCAGTCCCTTGTTTTTGTGTTTTTGAGATAGATTCTTCCTGTAACCTCAGCTGGCCTGGCACTTGCTATAGACCAGGCTGGCCACAATCTCACAGAGGTCTGCCTTCCTCTGACTCCCAAGTGCTGGGATTAAAAGTATACCACCATGCCCTGCTTAGTTCATTTTTTCTTTTTTAATTTTCTGAGTAGTACTCCTTGGTACGCATATACCACATCTAATTTGCTTGTTTGCTTATGAGTCTGTATTTAGTTTCTTCTAATTTAGAACTATTAAGGAATAAATCTGGGGTCTGGAGAGATGGCTCAGTGGCTAAGAGCACTGACTGCTCTTGTAGAGGTTTGGTTCCCAGCACCCACGTGGCAGCTAACAACTGTTCTAACTCCTGTTCCAGGGGATCTGACGCCCTCTTCTGACCTCTGCAGGAATTGCACAACACAGGTACATTTACACATGTAGGCAATACTCTCATACACATAAAATAAAAATAATATTTTTTTTAAAAAAAAGAATAAATCTGAGGCATGGTGGTTCCAACACCCTTTTCTGGCCTCTGAAGGCTTTGCACAACATAGGCCACCTACATACAGGCAAAACACTCATACACATAAAATAAAAATAAAAAAGTTTAAACCAGAAACCAGGCATGGTGGCACATTTCTGTAATCCCAGTACTCAGGAAGCTGAAGCAGGAGGACCAAGAGGTCTAGCCTGAACGATATAGTCAGCCTTGACTACACACAGAAACCTTGTCTCTGTGAATGTATCAATATATATAGTCTTTGTGTGGATCATCAGGATTTTTATGTTTGTTTTTGAGATAGGATCTCATTATCTAGTCCAAGAATTCTATCTGGCCAGGAACTCTTTATGTAGACCAGGCTGGCCTCAGTGCTAACAGAGATCCACCTACCTCTGCCTCTGAGTGCTGGGATTAAGGGCATGCGACACTACACCTGGCTAGGACTATTAGTTTTAATTTTTCTTGGCTAAATACCTAAGAGTAAACTTGCTAGGTCATATGCTAGGTGTACTTAACTTTATAAAATTTGCCAGACTTTGCCGAAGAGGCTGAACCATGTTACATTCCCTCCATTGAGCTCCACTTGCTTGACTTCCATGACAGCATTTGGTGGTGTCAGTCTTTTAAATTGTAACTGATCCATCAGGGGTATACTGGGCAGCTTAACAGTGTTTAATTTCACTTTCTTGATAAGTAGTATTTAGAACCTTTTCAAGTGATTATTAGCCATTGGTATATCATCTTTTATGAAGTATCCAAAATCTTTTTGTCCATTTTTTTCAGTAGGTTGCCCTTTTATTTTTTAATTAGATTATTTGTGTGTTCTAGGCATAAGTTCTTGTCAGACATGTTTTGGACTTCTTTTTGCATTTTGCCTCCTGAGGCTCAAAGCCAGGCCTGCATATGCTAAGCAGGCACTTTACCACTGAGCCATCTTTCCAGGCCTGCTTTTTGTTTTGAAAGTAGCACCTATATTTGCATTGTTGTCAATTCCAGAACATTTTATCACCTACCTGCCTATCCCCCCCCCCCCCACCGCCTGCTAGAAAAAGGAAACCTCTGTGTGCCTTAGTGATTCCCAGTCCACTCTCCCTCCCCTCGCTGGGCAGTGTCTCTACTCGGGTTTTGCAGATATTGCCCCCATCTGTGGTTTAACTGCTTATTTTCTCAAAGACATTGAATTTTAACTTTGATAAAGCCTAAATCAGTTTTTTGTATGATTTCTTTTTATTTGTATTTTGGGTTTTTGTTGTTGAGACAAGGTCTCACCATTGTAGACCAGGCTGGCTTCAAATTCATAGAGATCCGCCTGCTTCTGAGTGTGGGATTAAAGGCATGTGACATCAAGCCCAGCCTTATTTCCTTTTTTTGTAATCTGAAGATCCTTTGCCTACTATTGAGGTGAGAGGATACTGTGTTTTCTTCTAGAAGCTTTTTATTTATTGTGTGTGTGTGTGTGTGTGTGTGTGTGTGCGTGCACGCATGTGTGCGTGCGTGCGCATGAATACAGGTTCCTTTGAAGGCCAGATATGTTGGATTCTCCCAGAGCTGGAGTTACAGGCAGTCGTGAGCCACCTGATGTGGGTGCTGAGAACTGAACTCGGATCTTCTGGAAGAGCAGTGAGTGCTCTTAACCACTGAGCCATTTCTCCAGCCCCAATTCTCTTAGTTTTTAGTTTTTACTTTTTTAGGGTCTCCCTGTAGCCCCATCTGGCTTGAAACTTACTATGTAGATCAGGTTGGCCATGATCTCACAGAGATCTGCCTGCCTCTGTCTCCCAAGGGCTAAGAGTAAAGATGTTGTACCACCACTCCTGGCTTCTTCTAGAAGCTTTAATGTTTATGATCTTAGATAAAAGTTTAAGGTTTGAAGAAGTTGTTGAGACTTTTTTCCCTGATGGATATCTGTTTATTCTACTTTTCCACATTTCAAAATTCATATTACATTTTTGGCTACAATTGTGAGGGTATCACAATTTCTGCTGGGAAATGCTAATCAAATTCTATTTGATTCATGTTCATCTTCCTCATGAAATAAAATGTGGTTACCTCTAAAGGAATTTAAGTGCTGTGTGTGCCACACTTAACTAACAGATATGAAGGAAATTAGGGTTTACAGCAACATATGTGAGGTAGAATCATTTTAAAATGTGAATTTGAGGTATTGGTGTTTTTGTAAAGATTTTAAAAAAATATTTTATTTTAGTGTATGAGTGTATTGCCTGCATGTAGGTAGATGCACCTGTGTTGTGCAATGCCAGTGAAGGTTAGAAGAGGGCATTGAATTACCCTAGAACTGGAGTTAAGGACAGTTATTAGCCACCACGTGGGTGCTGGGAATCCAACCAGGTCCTCTACAAGAGCAGCCAGTGCTTTTAACCACTGAGCCATCTCTCCAGCCCCTGAGGTATTGTTTTAGAAACAGTAATCTCACGTTAAATTTTTACAGAAAAATGGGCCACTGTAAACAAAATATGTTGGTGTCCTTTCTGTGTTTGCTGTAGTTTTCATGCATTTTGTTGTTGTCCATGATACGCTCTTATATGGACACAACCCCAGCTTCCATCTAGTAGTACTCTAGTAACCTGAATGACTCTTCTGGGCCTAACTTATGTGATTGTACTTGTGTACTGCTTTTCCTTATACAGGCTAAGCAACTCTAAATCAAAATTCTGAGGTCCAGAGTGCTTCTCAGTTCTTAAAGTTTTAGGTTTTCCAGTTAAGGATGGCCAACCAATGAAGTCTATGCACACATTCCAAAATCTGAAACATTCCTGATCCTAAGCAAGGGATACTTAGCCTGTATTAGAGCTCTGCTGCCTTCCCCCCATTTCTTGCTTGTGAACACCCATATCCCTTTTTAGCAGGCTACAGCTGTTTGTCAAGGTGTCTTAACTCCCCCAACTAAGGCCCAGATTCCTTGAGGCTTGAAGAGTCAGTCATGTACCCTCTGTGGCTACCAATGGCACAGCAAGTGCCCTTTTAAGGCTTGTATAGTCAGAAAATGGGCGTGTTAGCATCTTTTGACATGGAATCAGAGGAAAGGACATATTTTACTGATGGTTTGGCCATGGGCCACAAAGTTAGGTTGCATTGTGTGGAAGACAGTTCTCTTTTCCAAGACAACTTAAGCCATCTAGGCCTCTGCATAGAGGCTAGGTATACATTTAAGAGGACCTCTTTAGAGACTGAGAGGATGACTCAGCAGTTAAGAATGCATACTGTTCTTATAGAGGACCCAAGTTTGGTTCCCAGCACCTACATCAGGCAGCTTTTAGTTGCTTTTAACTGTAATTCCAGGGGATCCAGTGCCCTCTTCTGGCCTTCTCAGGTATCTGCACTCACATGCACAACCTCCACACAGACACAGATGCACACATAATTAAATTTTTTTTTTTAAAGAGGAGCTCTTGGCTGGGTGTGGTGGCTCATATCTTTAATCCCAGCCCTCCTGAGGCAGAAGCATGAGTATAAGGCCAACCTGGTTCATATAGCAAGTTCCAGGCTAGCTGGGCTGCATAGTAAATCCTATCTCAAAAAGAAAAAGGAGAAGGAGCTTTTTAGAGCACCAAGGACTGAAATGAGTGTTGGACACTTGGAAGTCCAGTATCATGAGACCGTAGCAGGAATTTCATGCTTCTAGGTGTTCAGCTTGCTGGCTCCGGTGTATCACAAAACGAAACTTCACGTGATCTTTGGGTCGTGTAGTGTCCAATCCGTGTCTCCCAACTTCTCTGTGAACAGTTGAAGACCAATAAAAGTGCTCAGTAACATGTTTCCAAAAGCTGACTTGGGTAGTCTTTGTTTCTGACTGTGCACAGTCCCAAACATACAAATTTCAGAGGTGTCTTGACATCTCAACACTCTACCTGAGTGGGCAGGCTTTCTTCCTCCATTTGAAGCACATTTAAAATTAGCAATCATCTGAAACTCAGGAGAGCTGCCAAGCCTGCAAGTTGTGGTTAATAAATTAATGTTTTGACTATTGTGCAGATTTTGCTCAGCAATACCCAGAGATGCGTTAGATCAGCTAATTAAGTGTTCAGGTGCGTTGTAGTTTTCTCTCTTTGGTGATCAAACATTTAAAGGTTAAAAAACAAACTTCACTGCTTCAGACTCCTTAAATAGTGACTGGATCCCTGTAGAACGGTGTGTCCTGGAGCTTGGCATAGGCCCTGGCAAGGAGTCTCCTGTGGACTGGGAAGGAAGGAGTACACTGTGTCTGAAGACTGACTCTTGAGTGGTTAAATTCACCTTTGTCTTTGAAGGGTGTTTGTTTTTTTTTCTTCTTTTGTGCTGCTAGCTGTGCCTGTGACTTCCTCACAGTTCATTAGCTACTGTGATACTCTTAAAAGGGACATACCTTTCCTTTACATGTAGTTATTTTATGCCTGTCCTTTTCTAGACCAGAAAATTCCAGCAGGAAGTGAAAGGCCTCTGGCTCCTCATCCAATCAAGATCACTAAGACAGCAGCTCTCAAGGATCCAGTGGTGAACATCTTGTTAGAAAGGCCCCACAATGCCAAGTAAGTGACAGTGATACTGTGTGTTCCTATGCTAGCCGGTTACATTTTATTCTGGATTCCTTCAGTTCTCACAGGACAAAAGTTGTTTTGAGCAGGGCCTTGAAAACTCTGCAGTGGCTCTGTAAAACAGTAGTTATGAGGTGGACATCAAGCACTTGCATCTTACGGAGCCTACCAGTACACATTAGCATTCGTCTGGCTTTCACTTAGGTACATATGGGTGGTGCTGACACTGTAAATTCACTTTTAGAATTATTTTATCTATAGAGCAGGAATGCCTACAGTGTTGAGGGTTAGTTAGTGCAGAAGAAAGCAGGCAGTGATAAATGGTGATGGCATGCTGAGTTTTGTTCAATGTAAGGAAGAGAAACTATTCAGGTAAATGAACAGTTCACCTTCGCTTACTGACTTGAATGTCTTCCTCCTGTATTCTCAGCTCCCTGGATGAAAGTGTAGCAACAGAAGATGGATCAGAGAAAAGGGAGGGCCCGCTTCCCTCCCTTGCAGATCTGCAGCAGAGAGAAGGTAGAACTCCCCTGTTTGTCTCACCAGGGATGCGGCACAGCATTGGGGATTACTGTAGCCGTTTTGAACAGTTCCTCCGGATCATATCTCATGAGGCTGTAGGCTCCTTCAACCCATGGCTGATAGCTGAAAGGTCAGTAAAATTGTATCTCTGTCTACAGACCAAGCACCAAATTTTAGACTTGGAGAAGAGCTGGAGAAAGGACTAGCCAAGGTCTTATTCTTTGCTGTTGGGCCCTGGAATTCCAGTGGCTGCTCCTGGGCTAGCAGGCAGCTTTCTCTGGGAACTGCTGCTCTTCAGTTGCAGGAAACCTTGAGACAACGTGGGTTTTGCCACCTGGAAGAGCATCCTCTTCTCAGGCAGACTGGTAGGCCAGCTCAGCCTACCATAAAATACAGCAGACTAGGGGACTTAAACAACAGGAATTTCTTTCTTAGAGTCTGAAGTCTGGGAGATATCTAAGATCAAAGACTGGTAAGTGCCCCCTTTCTGGCTGTCAGGTAGCTGCCTTCTTACTCTGTCCATAGTGGCAGAAATTTCTTCCTCTTCCCCCCAGGGTACCAAGCCTATCCTAGGGCTCCACCCTTACAACCTCATCTGAGCTTCATTACCTTCCAAAGGTCTGTGTTATCATCACCTTGGCAGTTAGGGCTTCAGTGTATGAATTTCGGTGTGGGGACACAAGTACTCAACTCCTAATAACAGAGTGTAGTATTCAGGAGTCAAGGCAGGGCTCATTTCTTGATTCTGTTGGTGAGGGCCAGACCCCACCAGGGACCATACCCCACCAAGCAGCTTAAGTATTGCTAGGAAAGAAACAGTTGTTATGAAATCCTCACAGCTGAGACACACTGGCCTCAACAAGCAGCCAGCCTCTGCCTCTACACCATCTTCACTCACTCTCTCCTAGAGGTCATCCCTCCTGGGAAAGGTAGTTTTATAGAATAATAAAACAGCATCCCACAGCTACTAGAGTTTGAAAGATGAATGGCCTTCTTTTATGTGCACAGTATTTAATTACAAGGTATATAAACCCATTCTTTTTGAAGGTCAAACTTAAATTCCTCCAAGTATCACTTTCTTACAAACATGTAAGGTATTTTTCATAACTGGGCAAAGTAGTGGTCTCTGGTTATATGCCTTTCTTTCCCTTTTTGGTTGTTTTACTTTATTTCAAGACAGGGTCTTATATGCAACCCTGGCTGGCTTGGAATTCACTATGTAGACCAGGCTGACCTTGAACTCACAGATATCTGCCTGCCTCTGCCTCCTACATTTCTTTTTTTAAAAAAAATTTAAGCATGCCTCCTTTTTTGCCTCTTGTTTTATAATTTATGAACTTTCTAAACACATTCTAGCCAATGTCTCAGTATATTTTTTCTTTTTTTAAAAATACTTTATTATTTTTATTTTATGTGTATGAGTGTATTGCCTGCATGTATGTGAGTGCACCCATGCCGTGCGATGCCACGGAGGTCCGAAGAGGGCTTCAGATTCCCCTGGAACTGGAGTTAAGGACGGTTTGCAGCCTCCATGTGGGTGCTGGGAATCAAATCCGGGTCTCTGTAAGAGCAGTCAGTGCTCTTAACCACTGAGCCATCTCTCCAGCCCTCAGTATATTTTTTCTAATAAACAAAATACTGGTTAATGACTGTTTCTTAACTGCAACTCTACTTTTTCTCCTGAGATGGGCCCTTGTCCCACCTGCTCCATTGGGACCATTGCCCTTCATCTTAGCTGTATCACTCTTACTGGGGCCACATCATCCCAATGTTAGGCCACCTCCTCCCTTAGTGACTTCCTCACTTTCTAGTGTCCTTGCCTTGGTTTACTCTTTTAGTTTGATAGGTCTTGTCTTGCTTTTTGCATTGAAGGAAACTTTTGAGACGAATTTGAAAATGTCTACCTTCATACTTGATTGATGATTTGAATGAGTTTAAAATCACTGGTTTATATCTTCCAAAAAATTTGCCTGACTTCTTTTGTAAGGGTGGAGAGGGGTCTGTCACTTTGCTGCCAGGAGTAGTAGAGATCCAGCAGTCTGACTGCTGCTCGGTATGCATGCTGTCTTGTTCTGCTAAAAGGAAGACTTTTCCCAGCACTCTTACTTCCTAGGCCCTTCTGACGGGACCTGCTTCCATGTGTTAACACACAGTCTTGTAGCATATGTACTCATTTTCCTGTAATCTGTCTAGATCGGTTGGGCTGACTGGCATATTAGGAAATCCAAAACCAAGCCAAGGAAGATAGGCTGTTCCTTACATGTTCTTAGTGCCTTTGGTAAAGTGAGACATGTTGTTTGTAATTGCTTGCTGGCTATAGAGAGCAGTTCTTCCAGCAGCTCTTGATTGGTGAATGGCAGTTAGTAAGGAATGGCAGGTTAAAATGTAGAAAACAGAGCTGTTAAATATGTCTGGGTTTTACAGATGCTTTCTTCTGCCATCTTTTGACCCCAAGGACAGTACACCTGAAAATTCTAGCTGTTTTCTTTATTTGTTTTTAGCTCTCCAGCTTTTATTTCTTGTTTGTGTGTTTCAAAGATGAGAGATTTTGAAAAAGTATCCAGAGACAGTTCATTTTATCTAATAGCCTCTTGGGTAAGGAGGGAGCTAGCTGAGGTTTTTTCTGTCTATAATGTCTCAATTCCTCCTTATATCTGAAGAAAGGCTCTCTTACAGTGGGATGAACTAGTGCAAATGAAAGGTTGATTGTGAAAGGGAAGATTCAAGGTGGTAGTGCTTTCCATACAAAGAAACTCTTATGGATTCCTGGTTTTGAAAACAAAGATTTTCTGTTTGAATAGATTGAATAAATATTTGTATTTCTGTTCCCTGTATCCCTGTCCCACCACATGTCACTAAAGTAATAATTTTGAAAGACATGAAGCCAATAAGTGATGCCAAACAAGAATATTACTAAGAATTTGAAAGCCATAAAACAGACAAATGGTAAATATTTAGCAGACCATTAAAAAAAGTGCCTACTGAGGTTGAAGCCTGTGTAGAAGAACTTGGGAAGATTCAGGAACCAGGAACATACTTGTATAGGAATAAATGCAGGTGGGCCAGAAAACAGGAGGCTTGGTTGAAATTCACAGTCTTGAAAATGACCAGACATTGGTGAAAGTCAGGAAGGCTATTATAAACAGAAGAAGGAAGCCCTTTGGAAGCAGATACAATGTAGTAAGCAAAATAAGACATTGTAAAAAAAAAAAAAAAACCCCAAAATTAGAATGAATATTCTCAGAGAACTAAGTGAAACTATTAAAGCATAAATAACATATTTTTAGAAATTTTAAAATTTAATATTTAAAAAAATATTTTCTTAAGTTTTGTTTTTTGAGATAGGGTCTCCCTGTAACCACAGCTGTCCTGGAACCTGGTCTCATAGAGGTCTGCCTGCTTCTGCCTCTCGACTGCTGGGATTAAAGGTGTGCACCACCATGCCCAGGCAATATTTAAAAATTTAATATTTAATATTAAAAAGATCTTTCAGATACTAAAGTCCTAGAAATTAAAAATATGGAAAGATGGTTAAGAGCCCTTTCTGTGCTTGTAGAGGATCTGATTTCTGTTCCCAGCACCCATGTCTGGTGGCTTACAACCACCTGTAATTCTTCAGGGCATCCGATGTTCTCTTCTGGCTTCCACGGGTGCAAACACATGTGCACATATACACATGCACATACACAGACACACACATACACAAATAAAAATTTCAAGAGTAAGGGCTGAAGAGAGAGAGCTTAGTAGTTAAGAGCACTGGCTGTTCTTGCAGAGGACACGGTTCAATTCCAGCACCCACGTGGTGGATAGCAACTGTCTGTAACTCCAGTTCCAGGGTATCTGATGCCCTCTCCTGACCTCTGTGAGCATTGCACAACATGGATGCACTTACCTACATGCAGGCATTACACTTGTGTACACATAAGATAAAAAATATATAGTAAACAAAATATTTTAAAAATTCTAAGAATAAAAAAGAAAGACACGGTGGCTGAAATTACTTCACTAGAAGGATTTTTTGTAGTGGTAGTAGTAGTGACTACAAAACCAGGAGCTAGATAATAGAAAGGATTTTTAAAATTTAGAAGGTTGTATGTGCTAAGAGACTTAGAATCTGAATAATAAGAGTGTCAGAAGATGGGAAATTATCAAAGAAATACTATTGAAAAAATTTCCCAGGAGCCTATAGTCTTTAGGTTGAAAGCATTTATCAGTTACCCACTATGAAGAATGGGATGAATGAACCAGTGAAGGAATAAAACAGAAAAACCCATGGTACATCCCAGGGTCAGGAGAAGATGATAGAAGATTCCAGAGAGAGAAAGGTGGACACCTTCAGATGATCAGAAACAAGAATGGCAGTGTTCCCATAGTGTGCTGAAAGCTAGAAGATGCTGGAGTGTGCTTCCAAAATTAAGCCCAGACTTTTGTCATTTAAAGACAAATATAAAACAAAGGTAATGTTAACTGTGCATTGTCCAAAAATGTAATTTTCATGAACTGTCACTCCATAAGTTACTGGAGGCCATGTACTGCCCTGTGCTAGATATATACAAAGAAAGGAAAAGATTTAAGATTTAGAAACTTAGATTCAGGCACACTACTTCCAGAAAAGTGGCAAAGCACTTCCAGAGACATTTCTAAGAAGCAGAGAGAGCAACTAGTCCAGATTGGAGCAGGGGTCAGAGGGCTCCAGGAGGGATGTTCCTTTGCAACAGAGAAAAGAAGTGAAAAGGAAACCCTACCCATATTCCACCTGCAGAGTTGGGGTAGATCAGACATGCCGTTGTGATTCTCTCACACTTCAGCAGTGAAGCAATAGTAGGAACAGAGGAAGCAAAGCAAACATAAAGATGAGGTAATCACTTCTGCTTCTGCTTCCAGCAATGACGCATTCGGAAATTTGGACCACTTTTCCCACTGAGGATAGCTGTTAATAGAAAAGCTGGATTAAAAATACAGTGTATACATGCAAAGGCATCAAGACACTAGGTAATGAAGAATAACTGGGTCAATCCTGGAGAAGACAGAGAACTTGGCCCACTGTGTGGTGCTGGATAGTTGATTTTTCAAGGGAGAAGAGCTCTTTCAGCTCAGAAGATAGGTTGGAATCCAGGGATGCTGAAGTGAGGCAATTGTCTTGATGATCTTTCTTCACTTTGTTGTTTGTGGTACTGGTATGGAACCCAGAACCTGTGTGTGCTAAGCCAGCCCTCTCTTGCCGAGCTACATCCCAGGCCTTGCATTGCTTTTGACTGGGACCTTGGAAAGTCTGTACTCTCTCTGCAAGTTCAAGTGACCTGGATATAACTAGCTCTTTGCAGGGACTCTGCTCACCTCTGGGTTCTCTCAGTTTCTGACAGTAGATCGAGATTACTGTAGATTGTTGTTGTCCCCCTGGCTTCATACAGAAACAAACATACATTTTCTCTGGAGGAGATTATCATCATGAGATTCAGTTTATTTCTACAGTTTTCATAAACAGCATCTGGTTTATGGTGAAAAATAACCAGGCAACAGAGAGGCAACAATAACAACAAACCTACCGCAGCTCCAAATATTGAAGCTATTTACGGAAAATAAAATAACTGTGCCTGGTGTATTCATAGCAATAAAAGGTACAACTTAGAATTTTGCCAGAGGACTGCGAGGCAAATATATGTCCAGGAATTAAAAATGCCATTTCTGAAATGAGAGGTTATATTGGATAGGCTCAACAGCCAGTTAAATACAACAGAAGAGAAACTTGGAGACTTGGAACGTGGGTCAGAAGAAATATCCAGTTATATATGGAGGCATACATACTTTTCAAAGATGAAAAGTAAAGACGAGAGAGGGTAAGAGACATAGACCAAGCAACATGCTCTAATATATGTGGGGTTAGTCTTAGAAGAGGAGTGTGAAAAAATGAGTCAGAGTATCCAGACAGATAATGGCTACCATCCCCAAAGTAACAAAAGTCATGAAGATATATTAATAGGTTCAGGAAGCTCTAAAAACCCCAGTAAGGAAAATTTGAGATCCATGCTTCACCATAAAGTATTGTTGAAAAATCAAAGGCAGTCCTAAAATCAGCAGGAGGAAGAAACAGAAAGAGAAACCAAAAAGCAGTTGAAGCTGGAAAGCCCTGGTGTATGTTTTCCCCTTCTAAAAGCAAAGAAACACCAATGCAGAGCTCTCAGCTCAGTGAAATACACACAGGAAGGAAGGTGAGAAGAGAGGCTTCCAAGGAACAAAGCCGAGTCGTCTGTAACCAGTAGGCCTTCACTGTAGTGAATGGTAAAGGGGTTATTTTTCAGACAGAATGGAAACAGTTACAGGTGGATGGTCAGCAATATAGAAGGCATGAATTGAAAGCTAAGCATGTAGGTTAATGAGTAAATTCTATGAAGCAAGATTACTGATGTTTTATTGGGATGAGATATATACATGGAGCCTGTACTCTGAGGTTCTTGTATTATTTAGGGAAAAGGTAAGATGATAAGGCAGTGTTAGACAGTAAGTCAAGAGTGCCATTAAATAACGAAAGCATATACTATCTGGGCATGGTAACACATGCTACTTGGGAGGTGGAGGTAGAGGTAAGAGAATCAGAAGTTCAAGTCATCCTCAGCTACATAGTCAGTTTGAGGTTAGTCTTGGATTTATGAGACTGTGTCTTGAGGGAGTGGGCATGGATTTGATCAAAACAACTTATATGCGTGTATGAAATTCTCAATAAAGTTTTTTTTTTAAGTTAAAAAGAAAACAGACAGAAGACAAAAGTTCATCAGATCAGCAGAAGCTAGGGTAGGCATGTGGTAGAAGGGGAGCAAATACAAAGGCATCTTTGTCTACCTTTTTTCTATGACTGACTTTGGAGCCATGTTAACATTTCTTCCTATGTATCTCCCCTAATCAACAAATCATGCTGAAGAGATTGAGACAGACAAGAACTCACTAAGTGTACTATAAAGTATACTCTACCCTCTGGTTAAAGAGAAGTAACTGTAAACACATTGAATTCTAGCCAGCAGGTTTCTTTTGCTTGATGTCATGGGTCCTTTATATATTTTAAGATAGATCAAGTAAGTAGTGCAGTTTGAACAATGAGATCAGGAAGGCTAACGTGACTCCTGAGTTGAATTAGTTGAATGTGTCCCTAAGAATATATAGTTTTGGTAGATATAAGAATATAGAGGAGAGAGAGAGAGAGAGAGAGAGAGAGAGAGAGAGAGAGAGTGTGTGTGTGTGTGTAGGGAGGTGGGGTATCTGCTGAGAAGGCCTAGAAGCAGAAACACCAGCTTACCTGGTTTCTAGATATTTGCTTCATTAAAATATCCCAGGGCTCCTTGGAAAGGGGCTGATTAAGGGAAATGTATGATGGCCTGAAATGTATTGTTTCAGAAAGGAATGATAGGGAAATGTCAGGAAGACACGGGAACCAGCTTGAAAGGGGCATCACTGGCCAAATCTGGGATGACTTTAAACAGTAATAAGGCCTGGAGATGTTAGGTATATGCTAGAGTACTTCCATACACAAGACTATGGGTTCCATCCTCATCACTGTAAAGGAAAAAAAGAATGTGTGTGTGTGTGTGTGTGTGTGTATGTGTGTGTGTGTGTAACAGATTGCAATAGTAAGACTCTGTAATGCATACATAAATGAATGAATGAGTGAATGAATGAGTGAATATATAAGTAAAGGAAAATGTAAGTCTTTTCATCATAGTAGAATGCCAACTATTAAATAGGAAAAGAATGATGGAGTTAGAAAACCTGTATGTGTGTGTGTGTGTGTGTGTGTGTGTGTGTGTGTGTGTGTGTGTATGTAGATCCCTTCTACCATGGGCTCCAGGGATTGAACTCAGGTCATTAGGCTTATGGGTATGCCACTAGCACTCATCTCATTGGCCCCAGGGTTAGAAAAACAATGTTTGAGAACCCTGTAATAACTGCCTAGGGCAAGTTTGATAAGAAGTGGGATTTGTACATAGCCCAAAAGCGTCTCCCATAATATACTAACTATATAGACAACGTAGTCATTTACAAGGAAAAAGCCTGGCAGATATCACTATAACTAAGTATTCAGAAAAGTGACAAGTATATTCTGAGATGCACTGAGGGGTCACACTATCCCTCGTTTGGTATCTATTCCAGAAACATGTAGCTGACTATGATTATAAGAGAAAACCAGACAACCCCAAATAATGGGGACAGTGCAATAAAAAAGTCTTTACTCTCTGAGAAATGTTAAAATCATGAAAGAGAGGCTGTGAAAAACTTACTTTAAATGAAACTCTAAAACAATGTGACAACTAAGCCTGGGGTAGATCCTGGAACTGACTTTTCTTATAAGGGCATTATTTGGATGATTGGCAAAGTTTGAATGGAGTCTGTAGGTAAGATTAGATGATGGTTTTGCAGTGATGTTGGGATTTTTATCATTGTACCATGGCTGTCTGAGGGATGTTGCTCTTTCAAGGAGTACTTTTGGAATGCTTGAGAGATACCAGGTCTGCCGCTTACTCTCAAATAGTTCAGATAAACAAGGTTGTGTATGTGTACATGTGTACATTTACACAGTGAGATTACAGGTTCAGAGCACTCAGCCCCTTTCCCACAGAAAAACAAGCACCGTTTCCTATGTGTATCTTAGCTGGGGCTAGACTATGGCTAGGCAGTTTCCAGCCCCCTTTAACGTCAGCCATCTTAAGGGTGAAGTCAGTTTTGTCTGTGTTATGGGCTCTTGCAGGACTTGAGAATTCCGGTGCTGCCATTTTAACATCTGGGAGAACCAGCCCCCCCCCCCCCCCCCCCC